GAACTCCGCATGACTCTTCAGCAGAGCGAGAACAGTGTCAAAATCAGACTGAAGCACATGGAGGCATACTGCGAAGGCCTAGGCCATGGTCTCGACTCAGAGCTCCCCAAGCGCGTCGTGACGGAACGCGACCTGCAGGAGCTTGGTCAGCAGTACAATTTACGAGATGGCATGGCGCGGCTGCACCAGTCTAAGATCAATGTCTTGCGCGACCGGCAGGCCAAGCGCATGGAAGAGCTGCTCGAACGACAGGCAAACGAGCTGGAGAAGCTGGCGGACCGGAAGGAGCAGGAACTCGAGGCTCTCGCAAGCGACTTTGCTCAAGAAGAAGACGAGCTCGCCCAGGTCTTCAGTGAACGCAAGCGCATGATGCTTCGTGTTTGGTCTCTGCGCCTCGAGGTTCTGAGAAACGAGCTCGAAGACAAAGACGGCCTTGCCTATGTTGCTGTTGGGTTTCCGCCTTGGAACGGCGACTACAGCATTCGGGACGACGCAGCGCACCTAGTGGCAATCGCCGCTTCTTGTTCTTGATCGGCGAACTCTTTCACTCGCCGAAATGCAAACGGAGTCTTTCTTCGGACACCAATCCATACAATGCTCATGAAAAGGGGATCACTTGGACATTACGTACCTCGGCTGAGGACCGACGGAGTTAATCATTTCTGGGACCTGGAGTCACGGAGGAAGGGGCTGAATCTTATACCACGGATGAGCGCCGAGGCTGAATCGGGCAAGAGACGGAATGTTTTATCGTAGTTGTGCCAGAATCTCAGCATGCACAGCTTTGACGCTTGGGACCAAATCTTGCTGTATCGAAAGTGACATGTTGCCAGCATGGCGTCTCACTCGGCTCACGGGTCTTGGCTATTCTGGGATGTCGAGACAACCACCACGGCCGCGTTTGTACCGTCAAATATCAGACTATCTCCTTCAAGGTCGAAGTGGAACCAGATCCGACTCCAGCAGGCTTGCGAGCACGGTCGATCTAGCTAGTCGAAGCCAAGTCTCGAGCTCGAGCCACGACTTTCGTGACCCCCTGATCCGTTTCATCCACACCACCCCAGACTGTCTCGTGCGCATGGAAGGAATGCAAAACTTCCAACAGCGTGTGCGGTAGCCGGCTCGCCACAGGTGACGATTTCCTCTGCTTGGGGCGGCGTGGAATGGCGCGAAGTATTCTTTGCTCATTGAGGGTGCTCGCACGCGGTAGTGCATGGTTCCCTACCGAGACCGTTGCACGCGCATCTCGAAGTCGTGGTGTCCGCGTGAATCGTGCGAGTAGAGTTCTGTGCCATTTATTCCTCGAGTCAGTTGTTTAGTGTTTTCCCCTCCTTGTTGGCCTCTCGTACGTCAGCAGCAATCTTGTAAGGGAGTCCACCGGGAAGGCTGTTCCCTATCGTTGAACCCCGCTGATGATGCGTCACTAGGATGGCTGGGTAGCAACCACGACCTGGGAACCCACCGGATACTCCCATGTCCAAAGTATACAAGCCTCCGTGGTAAGACCGTGTACAAGTATCGCAAGAGTCTCCCCAATCTGGACGTTCGAATACAGGGGTTGACCTTGTTCGTCCGAACTTCTGTGCGCTTCAGACAGCCTCAAGTCATGCCCATCACGGCACCCGTCTCAGAATCACTCCTCATTCGACTTGCAGCGAGACTCTTTGTCGACAAGCTCGTCTCGAAAACCTACTGGCACTGCGAGCAACGGCTCCGAGGACCTAGCGCCATGACAGGTGTGTCGGATGGAGCGTGATTCGAGGGATTACTGTATGATAGAGTTTCTGAACCGCGTACAAGGTCATTTAAGTTCTCATCGTTCCCTCATACCCTGCAGCCAACCCTGTCATTCCCCTTGGTTTCGTTTCCATGGTATGCTTTCCATTCTCTATAGTGTGAAATCGCAGAGTTGTGTCCCCAAAAGTACTTGAAGCTTCTCTCTCTCTTTGACTCTTAGACTCGCCCTTGCAACTGCACATCTTTGCGGACAGCTCGAGCGGCACCGCACCGACAGACCCGCACCAGGACCGCGAATATGAACTACGATCAGAGATTCTCAGAGTCGACTGAAAAGCTGGCACCACTAGCGAGGATTGAGTCACCCGATGCCCTGGTGGTAGGGACGACTCAGCTCTTCGAGGGGGGCCAGATCCGGTACATTCCCATGCCCACGCCGGATCCCAAGGACCCCCTGAACCTGCCAAACTGGAGGAAATGGCTCGCCATCGGCGCTCTCTGCTTCTGTGAGTCCAACGAAACGGATGCTTACCGCCCAGTGTCAACAACTCGAAAATGACGGCGGAAGACTGACGAGTTGATAGTTGGCGCGCTGGCGCTCTCGGCCGAAGCCATCGTCGGCGCCCTCGTCCCCGTTTTTGTCCTCGAGTACACGGGCATTGATCCCAAGATTCTCGGGCAGATCGACATCAACCTATTCGTTCCGCCTGGCCAGGTGAACCTCAACCCGCTTGATATCCTCTCCGGCCTCGGCGGACCGCCGTTGTCCAAGGTTGCGCTCTTGGCCTCGCTGCCGCTGCTCGTCAATGGCATCAGCTCGTTCTTCCTCGTGCCGCTTTCCATCGCCATCGGCCGTCGTCCCGTGCTTCTGCTCGCCGGCGCGTGCGCCTGGGCTGGCGGTCTCTGGGCTGGCTTCTCGACTAGTCTCGACAGTCATATCGCCGCTCGCTGCTTCCAGGGATTGGGCGCCGGTGCCGTGGAGGCGCTGATCCCGCTGATTGTGCAGGACTTTATGTTCATCCATCAGCGAAACAAAGCCATTGCCTCCATTGGCGCATCTCAAGGCTTGATCATTGTCAGCTTGGGTATTGCCAGGTGAGAAAGCCTAGCAGCGTCGATCTCTTTCAGCCATCCATCTAACCTTCTGGCAGCCCCATCATCGTAGCCAGGATCGACTGGCGTTTCATTTACTATCTCACCTCGGGTGTTGCCATAATGGCCTGGATCGGCATCATCTTCCTCGTGCCTGAGACGCGATGGGTCCGCAGCGCCGACGAGCTTGGTACGTTTACGCTAACCACCCCCCTCGTGCTCCCTCTCCCATCTTGTGCCCAGGCTGACTTCAAGCCCCCTCCCCCAGCCGGTAAGGAAGTCTACCTCCTGCAGCCAGGTGAGACGCGTCCCCGCCTCGACGTGGCAGCCTTCGGCCCGCGCACAAACCAGACCGACTTTGGCATGCTGCACTGCGGCACCGAGTGGAACCTCGCCTCCAAGTCGATGTGGGAGACGCTCAAGACGACGCTGTTCCCCAACGTCCTCTGGGTCATCGCCATCAGCTCGCTCCTCGTCTCCATCCAGGGCGCCGCCGGCCAGGTCGGCTCCTCCATCCTCATCGCCGCCGGCTGGGACTTTGAGAAGCTCGGCATCGCCGTCGTGCCCCTCGTCGTCGCGAGCCCCTTTGTCTGGCTCTTTGGCGGCTACGTCGCCGACCTCATCTCCAACGCCCACGCCCGCCGCAACGGCGGCCGCCGCGAGCCCGAGGCCCACCTCCTCAGCCTCATCGTGCCCCTCGTCGCCGGCATCGTCGGCGCCTTCCTCTTCGGCTACGCCGCGCAGAACGTCCGCACCCTGCCCAGCATTGTCGTGCTCGTCGCCATCTTCTTCATCGGCTTCGGCTTCCTGACCGCCAACACCATCTTTGCCGTCTATCTCGTCGAGAGCTATCCTCAGTTTGCAGGGTCAGTCTCCTCTTTCCGTTTTCTTCCTCTGCGGCATTCTGCCTTGAAGCTCCCCTCTGTCAATATTTCTTTACTCAAAACATAGTATACTAACACGCACTTCAGACCCGTCCTCGTCAACGTCTCCTCCATTCGCCTCATCATCGGCTTCGCCATGTCGTTCCGTGTCACGGACTGGATCCAGGACCTGGGCTTCATGGTCAACTTTGCCATCTACAGCGGCGCCCTCGCGGCTGTCGCCCTGCTGCTGCCGGCCATGTACATCTACGGCAAACGCATCCGCGAGTGGACCGGCGGCCGCCTGGAGGCGCGCGTCGTCAACAACGTGGATGATGACAAGGACTGGAAGGCCGACGTGGGGAGGAGCTAGAGGGAGCGCCATGCCGGTGCCGGTGGTGTGTCCGATGACACGAGCTTTAGGGATATACGTGCTAGGTGGTGAATGGCGTTGCTTTTACAATTGGGTCTGTGCTCGCGTGTTGTCTGTTTCATTTCGTAAGAGAGGAATTCTCGAAAGAAACAGGAGTGTGCTTTAGACCGCTAGCCACTTGACGTGGTCGTAGACTATGTGTTTTCTTACTACAAGCGAGATTATGTACTCGTTCACCCAATTTCATTTTCTTGATTTTAGCAACACACCTGGCCTGAATATCTGTGGTAATATTCCAAGCTCCTCTCCAGTCTCCGCTTTTCCTCAGGCGAGAATGTGATCCATGACATTTAGTCGACGTCTTCCATGCGAGCAATGAGTTCCTGGTGCTGCTGCAGGCGTGACTTTTCGATGTGCTGGTGATGATGGGCCTGGTTCGACTTGACCGCGGCCTCCTGCGTGCGTTGGGCCTGGGCCGCCTTCTGCTTCTCCGACATGGCTTTCATCGCATGCTCATCGGCAAGCTTCACCTTGCTCATGTAGTCGACCAAGGCACCGAGGTACTCGTTCGCTTGGTTCACCTCAAATTTGACGTTGGCGCCCGCCGGAAAGGCAAAGGGCTGGTGGAGGTTAGCGTACATCTTCCGCTCCTCGTCGGTCCAGTGAGGCGGGCCAGACAGCCCTCCGCCACCGTGGGACACCATCCAGGTGAAGCTCTCTGACATGAGCCTCTTTTCCTGTTCGGTCCAGTCGCTCTCTGGGTACTGCTCGATGGCCATCTCGTAGACCTTTCTGACATTGCTCTGAAACTCTAGCAGGATATCTGTAGGGACCTTTCCGCGCATCCCACTCGAGAGCCAATGGGCCAGCTCATCGATGTGGGAGCATGGACAGGCCTGCGCCGGGCCTGCGACTTTGGCATCAGGCTTGCCCTTGGACTGCTGCTCGACCAATTTGGCGCGGACTTTGGCGACCTCTTCGATCTGCTCTCTCTTGACTCTGGCGACGGCGACGAGGGCTACCTGGCCGTCCAGCTGGTTCTTCATATACTTGCCGATGTGCTTGTAGAAGTAGGTAGGCTCGAGCTGGTAGATGGTGTAGCGGATCAGGCTCAGACAGCGATGGTAGACCTCGACATGGTGCTCCTCGAGCGGCTCGCACACGTCCTTGCAGCCGCAGTGACCCTTGATGGGACCCCAATCAGGCCAGGTGATCTTGTCCCCCGGCATCATGGGCAGCATGTAGACAGGAGCACCCCATGGGTTGTTATCTTCGAGAGCCACAATGGCAGGCACAAAGGTGGACTCAAACTGCTCGGGCGGCATCTGCTGCGCGGCGTGGATATCGCGGTGCATGGCCAACAGGACAGCAGCGAGGATCTGGCCGCGCCGTTTGGGGTCACCGAGCTGCTCCTTCTGGGCCTTTTGGGAGCGGACGGCACTCCAAGATATCTTGTACTTGTCTTGGATCTTCTGGAGCGTGTCGGGTAGCACAGAACGGGTCTTTTCGTTGAACAGAAAGGCAAGCGCCCAGATGCAGGCAACTTCCTCGCGGGTCTTGTCGCCCGGCTTGCACCCAGGCTCTGGGACGCCGAGGAGAGCGAAAGCGGCAGGCACGTACTTTAAGACTGGGCCGCTCACGGCTATGGTGCGCAGGTTGCAAAGACTGTGGCCGAAGCCAAGATAGCCCGCCAGCATTGCCTCATCGTTATGGATATATCTGTGGAAGATGGGTTTGGGGTCGGCCACAACTGTTGGGCGATAGTCGGACATGTCGGCAATAGGGCCACGTTCGATGGCTACGTGAGCCGAGCTCATGCATGTGTCGGATGCCATGACTTGGGAGCTCTCAAGTTACGAAGATGTGTGAGAAGTGCAGGAGGCAGGCAGGCTGCGTGATGTATCTGACGGCTTAACGTCAGCGGTGCGAAGATATCTCAGAGGAGGTATCTGTTGCGTCTGTTGGCATGCGGCCTGCGTATTCGTTGAAGATGCCTGTAAAGTCTGCGTCCACCGAGGAAGGCGATGTGGGAAGACGATGTGGGAAGAAGGATGTGGGAAGAAGCCAGAAGGGAACGACAGATGCCTTGTTGGAGGAGAGAGGTATGCGTGACTGCTCCTCCTAGGCAACAGGACGTCAAACAGAGGAAGGAGCGGCCTGCTTAAAACAACTCTGCCGACAGGAAGGCACGAGGTCCGCGTCTCTGCTCGCTGACCTCTTTCCTTGCATCGTGCTATCTCCTCACCTAACATTAGCACACAGCAACCATTCACTGACCAAATATGCGCGAGTCGATAACCTGCTCTGGTGAAGTGTCAATGATGCCTTTTATTTCGAATATTCAAACATCTGGTGAAAAGAAGCCCACAAACGAAACCAACGGCGCAACTGCCAGAGGTTGCTGCTTTTCTGGGCCATTAAAGCCTGCAACCCCTCCGCCGCACCCAAAACGCCCGATCCCCTTCTATCAGTTCCCATGTTGCCTGACTTGTCTCACAACGCGCAGCAGCGGTTGTGTTCACTCAACCCAGCCAAAACGACAGAAAGCGCCAACAAAAAAAAAAAAAGACGCCTCAGAAGATGCTGTTGACAAGGTTGCCACCGAGCGTGGCACCCGCACCAAAAATGGCCGCATTGCCAAGCTTCTTGCCAAACTTCTCACCATACTCCTTCGCCTTGCCGGCGCCGTCCTTGTGCTGCCCGTCTGCCGGCGCGCTCTGCTGGTTGGCAACGGCCGACGGCGGCGTGTCCGAGTTGTAGGGGTTCTGCTGGGGCGGCGGGCCCGCGGGCTGGCCGTACTGCGGCTGGGGCGGCGCGTACTGGTGCTGCTGGGGCGGCGGCCAGAGCTGCTGCGTCGGCGGCTGGTTGTGGTAGCCCGGCTGCTGGGGCGCGGCGTAGGCGGCGCGGTCTTGCGGCGGCGGCGGCGCGGCCTCGACGGCGACGTACGTCTTGGGGAAGATGCCCTCGGCGCCGGTGCGAGAGTTGCGGCCCATCCACCAGTCGGCGTTCATGTACTCGTGCACGGCAATCTTGTCGTCGCGCTCGAACGAGAGGTCGCGCGAGTCGGCCGCCTGGTAGCGGTAGAGAGCGCGGGCGTGGGCGAGGATGGGCTTGGACGGGGGAGGCGGGGGGCCGGGCGGAGGGGCAGCGGCGCCGCCCGTCGAGTTGGCGTAGGAGGGAGGCGCCGGCGAAGGGCTCGCCCTCTGCTGCTGCTGCTGCTGCTGCTGCTGCTGCTGCTGCTGCTGCTGCTGCTGCTGGGTGCCGATGTTCATGTTGGCCATGGCCTCGGTCGGAGGTGGTGCCGCGGGGCTTGCAGCCTGGGAAGGTGTTGCGCGGGCGGGCGCGCTGCCGCCGCCGCCTCGAAGGGGGGCTTCGGCGGGGAGCATGGAGTGAATGTTCTCGTAGGCATCGTCGTCGATGACACCCTTTTCGAGGAGGTTCTCGAGTTCCTAGGCCATGTCAGCTCTGGTCATTGAATTGATCGATCGCGGGGTTCATCGCAGGGCTGAAGATGGCGGCGACCAGGGTCATGGGGCTGAGGGGTGGGCTGTTGCCTACGTACGTTCTTGATGGTCCGGATCGACCGGTTGGTCTCCATGAGTGTCTGGCGGTCAGCCATGATGGCGGTTGGTCCAAGGCGTTTTGTGTGCGCTTTGTTTTCTCTGGTGTTTTTTTTTCTCGCCTGTGGAAGGGTTCCTTGTGTGCTGTGAGCGATGCCGTAGCAGGGTGCTTTGCTGTTGGGAGTTGGGGAGGAGGGAAAAGAGTCGACAGCGTTTGAATGTTCGGGTCGAAGACGTGCTAGGCAGTACCTGCCTAGTTACTAAGTGGGCGAGCCACGTACGTTCGTACCGCAACGGGGAATACGACAGAACGAACACGCCAACACCGGCACAGACCGCCCGATGCCCAGTCGGCTCGCTAGGTCAGTCTAGAGTCGAGAAAATTGGGGGCAACACGGCAGACAAGGCGGCGGAGGCGGAGCCCTGTTGTGTCCCGTCTGTTGGCCTTGTCTGACCTCGATGGTTGTGAAACTGGATCAGTCACAGAGGCGGAAGTGAGCCTGACGGACCCGAGAGACCGCCCAGCGACAGCGGATAGTGGCCACAGGGACTGGGGGGGTCGACCAAGCCCCTAAGGAACCCCGAAGCACCCCTGGAAAGCGGCGCCACCGCCTGTCAGTCCCATTGGATCATGCCGCGGGCTGCCCCGCGCTGCCACAGTACGAATGAGGCTCCTCAGCATCCGTGGGGCCGATGCAGGCCTCGTCAGCTCCCCCCTTCTGGCTTCTGGGCCAAGGAGTCTCTCGAGAACCGGGAGCCACTCGGGGCGACACTTCGCGTTGCACAAGTGCTGGGATGCACATGTGCACATGGTACACACGGGGCCACTGTGTACCTTGGCTGGTTTTCCATTTGCGATGCAAGGCACGCCGGCGCAACGGACCAGATGGTGTAGTTAGTCAGCTGAGATCACGGCACAGCAAAATCACTCCCTAGGTAGCTTCAGTAGTAGGTCAAATGACGATGAACAGACATCCAATTTCCATGATCAAACATCTATCCTGGCCACCTCGTCGCACACTTGACACTGCTTTTCCCTCGCACGCACGCACACTTAGATGAACTTGCTGTCCTTGCTGACGTACAGATCAACGTACTCGTCGACGGGCGTCGACTCGAGCTTTTGCTGGTCGAGGCCGAGCTCGACGAGCTGCTTGACCTTGTTCTCGCTAAAGTGGGGGGCCAGGTGCCTCTGGTACTTCTTGAGGATCTCGGGCTTGGCCTCCTCGCGACGCAGGCGGTGGCCGAGGGGCGCCTCGACGACGACCTCCTCGAGCACGGTGCCGTCGTTGAGCTCGACGGTCAGGGCGTTGGAGATGGTGCGCAGGGCGGGGTCGTGGTAGTCCTTGGTGAACTGGGGGTCCTCGACGCACTTGAAGCGCTTGCGCAGCGACTCGACCATCTCGGACGTGGCGGCCTCGCTGCCGTCGGGGTAGTCGGTGGCCTCGAGGCGGCCAAAGACGAGCATGACGGAGCACATGTACTGGATGCAGTGGTCGCGGTCGGCAAAGTTGTCCATGGGCTTGAACTGCTTGTCGATGATGCGGATGCAGGCCTCGTGGGTGCGGCACGTGATGCCCTTGATGTCGGCGGCCGACTTGCCGAGGGCCTGGAGCTGGCCGTAGATCTTCTCCGACGCCTCGACGGCCGTCTGCGAGTGGAACTCGGCCGGGTACGAGACCTTGAAGAGGACGTTCTCCATGACGTAGCTGCCGTAGGGGCGCTGGAACTCAAACTTCTTGCCCTTGAAGAGCACGTCGTAGAAGCCCCAGACGGGCGCCGACAGCACCGTCGGCACACCCTGCTCGCCCTTGAGCACCTTGAGCGCGAGGTTGACGGCGCGCTGGCAGGCGTCGCCGGCCGCCCACGACTTGCGCGACATGGTGTTGGGCGAGTGGCGGTAGGTGCGCAGGCTCTGGCCGTCGACCCAGGCCTGGGTGACGGCGTCGGCAATCTGCTTCTCGCCGAGGCCGAGCATCTTGGACACGACGGCCGTGCTGGCCACCTTGACGAGCACGACGTGGTCGAGGCCGACCTTGTTGTACGAGTTGAGCAGCGCCAGGCAGCCCTGGATCTCGTGGGCCTTGATCATGGCCTCGAGCACGTCGCGGATGGTGAACTGCTTGCCGTTGGCGAGGTTGCCGCCGGCCTTGTTGGTGCGCGTGATCCAGTCGGCGACGGCGAGGATGGCGCCGAGGTTGTCCGAGGGGTGACCCCACTCGGCCGCGAGCCAGCAGTCGTTGTAGTCGAGCCAGCGGATCATGGCGCCAATGTTGAAGGCCGCGTTGACGGGGTCAAGCTGGAAGTCGGTGCCGGGCACCTTGGGGCCGTTGGGCACCGTGGTGCCGGGGACGATGGGGCCTAGCAGCTTGGTGCACTCCTTGAAGCGCAGACCCTCGAGGCCGCAGCCGAGGGTGTCGAGGAAGACCCATCGCGCCGTGTCGAACTGTGCGTCGGTGGTCAGCAGATGCAAGGAAAATATTATGTCTGTGAAGAGGCGGGAGGTTTGAGATTTTTCATCTTTTTTTCGGGGGGGTTTAGAAAAAAAAGAGAGAGAACATGTTCAGGCAGGGCAGGCAGGGACGGCGGCCGAAGGAGGGGTAACCGGGTAACCGGTGACAGTGCAGAGGGGGCAGGGGCGGCGGCGACGACATTGACATACAGCTAGCTCCGAGTCGACCTTGTAGTTCTGGACATAGTTGGCAATGTCGTTGATCTCGGGATCGTACTCTCTGGGTTCGGAAGACATGGCTGGGGCACCGCTCTGTCTGGCAGCAGCGGTCGAGAAGTTGTGTGCGGAGGAGGGAGAAGTAGAGGAGGAAGTGCGGGCAGACGCGGTGGAGGCGTTGAGGTGGGTGGAGGCGAGGCCGGCACGGAGGGGAGCTGCGAGGCGGACGGTCTGCGATGGCAAGCGCAGCGATCTCGTGGCAGTCCTGATGCTGCGGTTGACGGCGGACATGATTCGTCTCGGCAGAGGAGGCGAGGTGGAGGGGGCGCAGAGGAGGTCAATTGGGGGACTCTCGACGGCAAGCTGCTCGCTCGACGTGACCTCGGCGGCGCAATGGGTATAGGGAGAGGTGGAGAGAGGGATGTGAATGAAGGCAGGTTGCGGCGCGAGATTCACGTCGAGGAGAAGAATATATTTGGGCTCGGCTCAAACAGGTCCAAGGCGGTGGTCACTACGGGTTCCAGGGGGGGAGGGGTAAGCCTTGAGCCTTGAGCCTTGAGCCTTTGAGCCTTGGGGCCTTGGGCCTTGGGGCCTTGGGCCTTGGGCCTTGGGCCTTGGACCTTGGACCTTGGACCTTGGACCTTGGACCTTGGGGGGTTGGGGGTTGGGAGGGGGGGTGGGGACCGTACCTGGGGGCGCACGAGCAGGGGAATTGCTTTACCGTGGGCTGCCGAGCCTCGAGGACCATTAAGAGCCACTTTGATCCGAGGTTGTCTGCGCTACGAGGGGTATACCCGTTTGAGCGGTGCTTCTGAGGCTTCTGATGCTTCTGATGCGGAGAGAGACCCTATGGTTAGTTGCATGTGGGGTATGCTGCTTCCGGTGATAGCCGCGGCGTGTTTCTGTAGTCCCAACCTTGATGAACTTTTTTTGTTGACCATCTACTTAGTAGCTTGGGTCGTCAGGTTTTACATTCATTCTTGACCAATTTGCGCTTGATCGCAAGCATGTAGGTCGTGTCCCAGCTGAAGGCTACGTAAGGTGGGAACCCACAATGGAATTGCTGTGAATTGAAGGATGGCCAGCTCCATGAACTGGCTGCATAACCCATATACCGCTCAAACCAGTACAGCCACTCCCTCAATCGTTTGATCCATTTTATCTTATCGCCGAGCTCGGAGCTACGCATCTTGGTGTCTGCTTTCCCCCGGCTCCCCCGGCTCCCCCGCCATTCGCTTGATGGAGATCCGAGGTCATCACGAATGTTGAACGCCAGCAAGACGCGGATCGTCCGTAGGACCGAAGCTACTTTGCTTGCATACGCTGATCGAACTCGGCATCATGGTGTCTTTCTCGATCTTGTGTCGATACTCATCTACCTGGCATCATGTAATAAATCATGATGAGCTGGGTCCGACAAGACATGCCCAGACGGACAACATGTATGACTATAGCCTCCCTCAACTCACGCATTCAACCCGTCGATGGAATGGCATATCCCGTGATGGTGGGCATCGGCACAAGCCAAAATGAAGCATATCGTCCTGAGAGTCAAATGTGGCAGGCGCCTCGGGCCACAGAGTATGGAAGGCAGTGCCTTTGATGGAGTAACCTTTTTGTTGGACGACGTGTCAAACCTTGAGGGCCCAGGTTTTGGCAGGCACTCTTCTGATGCTCGTTTGCTTTGAAGACTGGTCACGTCCGCTGTCCGCTTCTCGCTTGCTTCTGCAACAATCAGAATGACATTGAAGAAACTCCTCTGGACTTTGTTTGAATCAACAAGGCGGCGACCGCTCAATAAAGGCAACACATGAAGAATATCCGATCACTAACACCCTCTACCGTGGCAACCGAACATTGAAAGAGACAATACGACAAGGCCGCCTTGTCCGCCAGCTTCATTCACCACTGTTGGCATTTGGTTGGCAAACACCATCATCACAGGCACCGTGACTTGCCCATTCGCCTCACCTCATAGCCAGTACTGTCAGCCCTGCAGCAGGATCAGTCAGCGCACCCTCACACCATCCCACGCCGGAAGTCTCTCTCGACCACCGGCTGCGATTCAGCGTTGCACCAGTGAGACGGCAGCAGAAAGCGAGCGACCTGTCCATCTCCCGCTTTCATTACCTACAGGTACCTAGGTAGGTAAGGTACGAAAGGACCACGAGGGTGGGAGCCCAGCACTGATGGCCCCCATGGCACCCCACCCGGCTGCGTCTAGTGGTGCGGATCTTGTCTCCAGGGGCCCGACCCCTACAAATACCCCTACAAGCACCCCTACAAGCACCCCTACAAGCACCCCTACAAGCACCACCACGCCGGGGATTGACACTGGCGCTGGCCTCGCTGCCGTCTCTGGCTCTGGCACCCATGGTACTTCTACCACGACTCGTCGCCAGCCTCCTCCCTCGCGAACGCTGCTCAACCACTTTCATCAACGCCCTCGCCCTCGCCCACCGAGCACCATGTCTGCCCTGCGCCCAAACCAGAGGGAGAAGGCGGCTTCGAAGCACGGCTCGTCTGGCATCGCCGCTGGACTCGCAAATGGCATCGCAAATGGTCTCATTGACCCCACCAAGCTGGGCAAATACCCCGTGCTGCTGAGTGATACCCTTCTTGGCCGCACCCAGAAGGACGTCTTCACCAGCGTACGATGTACGTTTCCCCTTCCCCCCCCCAACCGGCATCGAACGGACTCCCTCTCCTGCCGTCGGGAAGCAGAAGCTGACCAAAGCCCATTAGACAACCACAAACCCCAGCTCTCCTCCGATCAGGCACCTGCCCTCGCGAGGCTCAAACCCGAAACCCCCGGCACCAAAGACAACTTTGAGCTCTCGTACAGCGACGCCGGCGGCACCTATGGCTACGCTGGAACCCGCTCCACCGACAGCAACCAATATGTCCTCTACTTCGACGACGCCAAGAAGGCCTTCATCCTCGACCGCGTCGACTCGACCTTTAACATGAACCTCACCCGTACCCCCGAGACCACCGACCCTGAACGCCTGCGTCAACAGTTCGAGCACCTCGACACGAGCCCGCCGGCCCGTGACACCCCCAATGACACCCGCAAACCCGCCTCCAAACCCGTCTCCAAACCCGCCGCGTCCAAAGCGTCCGCACCCAAGGCGTCCGCGCTGAAGAACAGCAGCAGCAGCAGCAGCAGCACGTCTCAGCCCCGCCGTCCGGCCCCCGAGAAGAAGCAGGCCAAGACGGTCGAGCTCGCACTGCCGCCGCCGCCGCCGGTCAAGGAGAAGCGCAAGCCCGCCAAGATGGACGACGAGGACGACGACGAAGACGACGACGACGACTTTGGCCTCACCGTCGAGTATCCCGACGAGCCCGCCAACGCCCGCAGCGGCACCGAATTCTCCCCCGCCTTTCCGGCCCAGAAGATTGCGTTTCGCCGCTTCTCCGAGTTTCTGCGCGACTCCGAGGCCGACGACGCTGATGGAGAGTCGGACCAGGAAGAGGACAGGGGGATCGAGGGGTTCAAGCTGCCGAGCCCCGTCAACGACGAGGGACAACAGCAGCAACAGCAGCAGCAGCAGCAGTACGAAGACAGTGAGGACGAAGAGTACAACCAGATGTTCGAGGACGTCGATCGCGCGCCTGCACAGCAGCAGCAGACGTACGTCCAGCAAGAGGCGCACGCTGGCCACGACGACGACGACGACGACGACGACGACGACATGGACCTCGAGGCCGAGCTCGAGGACGCCCTCGAGCAGGCGGCCAACAGCGGTGACGCCGGCGAGGAGAGCGAGGTCAGTGAGGAGGACTAGGCACACGCATCATCGTGCGCGTGCTCAGGCGTGTTATGGCGTGCGGCGATTTTGCAAACACGCATTCTCTTTCAAAGGCGTTGATTTTTCCAGGGAGAGAAAAAAAAAGGCAGGCGTCTTGTTTTGTTTTCCGGTTGCCTAAGATGGGCTGGTTAGGATCTATACCACGAGCTAGGACATGGATCCTATGAATGCATTATGAATTTCACTGAGAAGACGTCTTGTTCGCCTTTGAATACCTTGTGCAAGCATGCCATGTGCTGCCATTCTGGTGCTACGTTGTGACGGTGCCTATCGCGCTGGTAACGGAATCATAGTCGCGTTGGCTGCCCAGCACGTCTATTGCTCATGCAACCTCCCACCTCGCAAGCCATCCCACGCCCTCCCCGGCATTCCTCACAATGCACAAGTTGGTCTCGCGCACATGCCCCTTGGCCTTCTTTCTCCGTGCCTCGTCCCTGAGCCCCTCGACCACCCTGTCGACAACAATGGACCCGATCGCCCTCGCCCTCCCCTCGCTGAGGCAGTACGCCCCCGTTGTCACGAAGCCGATGAGGTCCTCCTCGCCCGGCACGAGCGGGTGCCCGTTCATGTCCGTCTGGTTCGGCTTCGGCGGCGGGTACCCCAGCGGCGCCGGCGCCGGCGCCAGGAGGCTGCGCGCCAGGAAGCGCTTGCGGGTCGCCATGTCGGCGTCCGGCGGAGGGCGGTCCGCGACCGAACCGCGCGACCGGCGGCGCTCGGCCCCATTGAGCGAAAACGGAGAGGCAAGCTTGAGGATAGGTGGCTGTTTTTATTATGGTCCATTGAACAG